AACACATACGCGGGTCCGGACGCAAGGGAATTCGTAATCGCCGAGGGGACCTTTGCGCAGGATCAACGCGATAATTCGAATTTTCATCCCGCGGCTAACGGTCCATACATATTTATAGTTTAATTAAAATCGATACGAGCTTACGGGGGGTGGCTTAAACGGCGTGACGCATCGCTCGTTTTCTTTTGTGATGCGAGAATTTCAGCACCGCCGCGATGAAAATGCGTATCAATGAATATGTAGCGCCGAAAGACTCGTGGAGGCAAGCAGGGAGAAAAACAGAATTGTTCGATTTCTCTCGCTCGATGTCGTGTGCGTGAGTACACACGTAAATATATACATTTTTATTCCCCCCGAAAATATGTTATAATAAATCGCACGCACGAGAAACAATTTTTATGATAATGAAAAATATTACGTCAGAATTCAAGCTCTTTATCGCGAAATATTTTTAATATTTAATTGTTTTCTATAATTTTGATTCATTTCTATTATAAGACAGGTCTTTTAGAAAATATAATCTTACTCTCAATACAAAACATACACTGAGAAAAAAAATTGATTGTACGAACTAAATTTGTATAGTTGTTTGATCCAATAGTTCATTCAACAATTCTTTATAGTTGCACAAAGAAAGTATAGTTCATTCATGTCAACTATCAAAATTTTTTAATTAAGAATTAACTAAACCAACTCAATTAAATTATTTTGTTCGAAATACTAGTAGTATTTATTTGTGTTTGCATGCTATTTAGTTATTCAAGTAATATATTTGTTTAAATTCCAAGTATCAAACTGACTAAACGATGATGATGGTGATAATAAATAGTGTATATTTTTAATAGAACGGTTGAGTTAAATGCGATAAATTTTTCTTGAAACAAAATAGTTTAGTAAAAAAATAGTCTTTTGTTTATAATAGTAACAAATTATTTTGTGTCATCGTAGTAACGTTTAGTTAAACGTATCTAAATATTTTGCTAAAATGAAATAAATTTTGCATTTTTCAACTAATTTTTTTCTCAGTGTAAGAAAAGAAATAAAAATGTATGTTATATCTCTCGATTTTATATCTCTAAAAAAATATTTTCTCTTGAATACTTTATGTTTAAAGTAAACTAAAGCCATGGTTTCGTGCCATAGTTACCGTCAAATTGATATTCAAAAAATAATCAGTAGATATTTACATTTTGAAATCGATATTGAAAACAAGAGCATCCCTGGCATAAAGTTCAAGTTATTCAGAAAAATCACGGAGATAAAAGAGAAGAGGAAACGAGCGATCGTGCGATTTATAAAGCGACAAGTCGTACATGCGAATACAAGCGATCAGCCGGGCTTATCGATCATTAGGGGCGCATCGATGCCATTAACCGGCCCGCGTTTAATATACGATGAAAAACAGCCGCGTATATAAATTACTCATCCTCGCACCCCGCAGTTGTGAACACGCGTCGCGTACACTAGTTCTCCCGTGTAAGCGCTTCTCCACGGTGCTCGATACAACGCGGCTTATACCTCACGGATGTCGCCTGGCTACTATTTACGATCGCAAGAAGTATAAAGCCACGCGGATCGTTACACGCTCCTTTCGCGAACGACTTGCTCCTTCTCGCCTTTGTCCGCCGACGTTTCTAGCGCGTGCATCGCTATTGCTTTGTGCTCACGTCAAAGCCAAGATCGAGAAGTGAACCGATAATAAAAAATTTATATATCATATTTATATTATAATCAAAATATAAAATAGTAATCCCATTAATTAATAATATGCGATAACATATCGTTGAAATATTAGAATAACGCAACATTTTGTCTTATTTCTATTTTTCTGAATCCTTTTTTAGCATTGAAAACTTAAAAAAGTTAACGAATAAATGATTTCCCAAAAGTGAATAAAATCTAAATGAGAACTAATGTGCTAATTAAATAAAACTTTCATTCATGCATTTTTCTTTTTACAAATTTATGCAGCTGTTCACAAGAATTGTAATACATTCTGCGGTTTTGCGCGGCGGTGACGAAAAGAAACGTTATCACGATATGCTACTATGTATGACCATTTTCAGACCGTACGTAGTATTCGCACCACGTTTCAATGTTATGTGCTACCTCTCGTATCCTCAAGTAAGCTTGTCAAGAATAAAAAGGGATGAAAATGGATAAAAAGAGTCCTAATGCTCGAAACTAAGTCGAATGCTACGACATATTCTCTGTTTATTCTCATTCGCTGTTCCTTTTATTATCTTTTTGATATATTTATTTCAGGAAATATATTTCTTTAACATATATTTTAGGAAAATTAATTTCTTTTCACTGAAAAATATTTTAAGAAATCTAAAGTTAATCTTTCTTTTTTCTTCTTAAAATATATCTCCTTAGATCAACAATATATTATTCTATTATATTCTGCATAATAAGCAGTGACAGTCACGAGATAAAATAAATTAGCACATTTGTTTGAGAAGAACTGAGGTATATTACGGATAAAAATAATGAGACGACTCGGCTTGCTAATTACCGACGGTAACGTATTAGCATAGAACTCCCGTAAAATTCGTGGAGCGGTGACAAAAGGGACCTACGAGTTTTCCCTCACCCTCTCCGACACGTTTGTTCGGCATCATCATCGTGATATTTCGTTGTGCCGTCACGCCTCGCGCCGTTCCCTTTGAGCTCTAAATAACGTTCGATGGAGTCCTTAAACGCGGAGATGCGTCGCCGCGCATAATATCCGTTATTTACAAGCCAATAAAATCGCGCCTCTCGAAACTTGAACGCATAAATAAGTGATGGAAGAGAAGAAAAAGGGACGGAGGCTTCTCCTCGCCACGATTTCAACAATAATATACAAATTTAGCGCGCATTGTGATGTTAAAAGAATTTTTATGAACAATCCCGTCATTAAATTCGTTCGATCATAGATAAAGAGACAGCCTAATTCGGGCATAAAACCCGCTGGTATCGTATTTATGACATGTGGAAACGGTTCTTTAAAATTTTATAGCTGTAGCCTTAATATTATGCAAAAACCCAGTCATCCATGCGCTAATTTCATTAAATGCTATCGCATTATTAAATCAATGTACGATACGATAAAAAATTGTAATAGGTGCCTGAACAGGTCTGTATATCGTTTTTCTATTTTTAACTTATAATGAATATTCACGAGAACCAAAAGCCGCGGCGTTTTTCATGAATACGTTGCCACATGTTTTCTCTTTTAAGTTCACGTAGCAAGAGAGAATTAATATACTCCAAGATTATATTAGGTATACTTTAAAGTTTTCAAATCAAATGTTCCATACATTCGAAATGAAGATAACTAATGTAATATGATGATGTTCCAATGAATAAACATTGATAATAATCCCATGAATAAACATTGATATAATTATCCATGATATCAATTAGTATAATATACCTCGGAAATATCAAAATATCTTCGAAAATGTTAATAAGTTATAATTTTTTATATTACGCTCTGCTCTATAAAATATCATGAAAAAGCAATCATTTACTTCTTTTATATGGACGAACAGAATTGCAACATATAGAAAAAAAGACGCGGCGTTTATCAACTCCGATTAATTTGAGCGTAAAAATATCCTGAGGAACGCGCGTCGATTTTAAATCTATTAGCCTTGGGGTAGGAAATAAGACAGGAAAAAATTGGTCCGGTATCTTGTCGCGCAGAATTCACCTCTCACGGGTTCAACCATCGATAAACGAAAAGCGTTGCCTGTTACGCGGCGAGAGTGGGTGTCAAGGGAGACGGTAGGAGTACATTAGACGGTAATTAAAAGTGAGCCTATTACCCTGGCTAACGGAGCGTGAAATGCTTTAAATCGTTTACAAATTACAGCGTCTGCGAGCGCTGAAACGTCTGCTGTTACGTACGCGCGAAAATCACGCCTTACGGAGTTCGAGTAACAACTCGAGATTTTATTGCGAAATACAGATATCATATCGGGATAAATAGAGAGCGCCTCTTCCACTCAAGAAAGTTTATTTATTTTATTTTAATCGATTATCTTTTCAGCAATAATTTATAAATTTTAGTACGGCATTTAGTACAAAACATTGTGATTATCACAGTCTGTCGGTTAATAATTTAGCAATTTGGTGCACGCATGGAATTTGTCGGTCAAAAAGATAGAAATTCAAATTAACGATTTGTGAGATATGATGTTGATTAGCATGTTATGGATGCAAATTGGAACAAACTATTGCATGAAAAATTAGTTGACTGTTAAACAAGTGTTACAATAATTTGACATATTAAAATTTATAATTTCTGCCTATTAATAATTAATTTCCACATGTAAAATTTACACATACCTATGCTGCATCACATCTGCATGTTTATTCACAAGTCTACGCGAAACACCGTGTACAACAAGGAATATTTTGATGACTGTAACAGTTCGATATTTTACGACGGGAAAAGTCGTCGCGGAGTTCGGGCGATTTGAAAAGCTCTCGTGAACTTAACTCGCACGAGCCAGTGGACCTGTCGCCACTTGTTGAATGTTTATGAAGAAGAACAGAAGTTGAAAGTACCCTCGAATCGTTTCGACCAATCGCAAATTTCGAGTGGAGATTAAACGTTTGCTTTATCGTATGCCGTGAGAACTCTTTCGATTAAACCGCTGATAAAGCGGATGTGATAACAGATTGCTAGGCAAAATAACGACATACTTATCATTAATGTCATTTATTAATATCGTTATATTAGTTTAATAGCTCGTTCATAAATCAGAAAATTTCGACTTCTGTTCCTTTAGAAATCTCGAGGAGCTAACAAAGTCGAGTGTAATTAACAATACAATCGATTGTAGAGGAAAATTAATTCTCCGTCGAGAAACACCTTTAGAATCATAAAATATCATAGTCATTATATATCACAACTGTCAGATAAATCAAACGCACTTTATTAGCTCGTCGGACAATGGGAATGGCTTCCTGCTCCCCTTTGAACTCCAAAATGCGTGAGGACTCACCTTTCAAGATGCCCGCGAAGAGGAGGAGGAAGAGCAGCGTGCACAACTGGCGGTGATCCCTGCGTGCCATGTTGTCCCACGGCGAAACGCACAAGACGATGCACAAAAGTCAATTGTAGACGCGCGCGGACACGAGGAAGCACGAGAATCCCGCCGCCGCCGCCGCCGTGGCGCACATACTCGGAGAAACAGTATATATCACGGGATGCACGGAGAGGCGCGAGCGTGTATATGTGTAGCGTCTCAAGTTCGTCGCACGTTCGTCCACCGACGCGAGTCACCTGCAAATTTCAAATTCTCAAAATGGAGCATGCGCGCGCGCCGCCGTTCGGCGAATCAAGCCGCTCATCACGTTTCACCCGTTCGCGGCATCCGCGGGCGCGGATCTCCTCCTACGATGAACCAGATGAATCGGGAAAGTGAAAACTCACGCGATCCGGTCGAAATCCTCCTATAACGATTCCCGCTCCTGTCCCACGTCGAATTAGTGATCGCGCCGAGGGTGCGCGATACGCGTCGCGACGAGACGTCACCGTAGTGAAGTTGCGCGCGAATGACGGCCGCGCCGACCGCGTGAGTCCTTTCCGCGAAGCGTATATGGGATTGTTCCTCCTTGACCGATGTACACCGTACGACGCTACTCTACGATCATCTACGGCAGTGTCATCGCGCGAGGCTCGCGTATTTATTCACGCGGAACGTCGTACATCATGCGCGTTAACTGCCCCAGCTGACAGTTCCGTTGTTGTCGCTTTGCGAAAGCACACGCAACGCCGGACAGCGCGCGCGATTTATCCGCTGCAGAGTGTCCGCGTTTTGTTTACTTTAACGACACATCCCCGCTGGACTATTCGGAATCGCGACTGTTCGCTCGAAGCGGCTCGATCCGCTCGATTTTGTTGACGGGTGCCGGTCTTCGCGCGTGTCGCACTCCCGCACGCTTTCTCACGCAAGTACACACACACACACACATACAGAGAGAGGCGCAACGAATCGTCCGAGATGTCGCACGAGACTGCCGGCCGGCCGCTAACTTCGCGCGGTCTCGGCGGATTCGGGCCGGCGCGGCGTCGCTCGGTAGTCGCGCACGCGCGCGCAAGATGGCGCGCGTTGGTGGGGCGGCGGCGTTTACAAAACCATCGCCGCCGCTCCGTTTTCCTCACTTCCGCGCCGCCCGGCGTTCGCGACGTACGCACGTTCTCGCGTCTCGTACGGCAACAAGTTGCCGAACTGTGAACTCGATCACGCGCGCGCGTGACCCCGCGCGCGGGGTTAGAGGAGCCGCGAACGAAGAAGCATCATGGGGGGATGTACTTTCGGCGCGCGGCCGGCTGTAATGAAATTAGATTAATGGCCCGGCGAGGCGTGAAGTAAAACAATCTTCGCGTTTCTTCCCACGATGCCTGCAGCACACGTACACGATTGTATGTACGTACGTCGCGGGATTAGAAAGTCTTGTCGTACGTGTCTATTAAGCTTTACTCTTTTTATTAATATAAGTCCTAAAGTTAAATGGTACATCTTAAAGGGGAAATATAATATCCTTTCACACGTGTCCCGGCGTTCGAAATCATTCTTTATTATCTAATTGCTATCTCAGCTTGGCTGGACTGTCGGAGTAAGTGGTCGATCCTTCGGAACTGTAGCAAACGCTATGCTGCGGATAAAATTTGTAATTTTACAAAGATCGCATACAGACAACGCGAAATAATTTAAAATGATGTTATTATTGTTGATATTTTTAATTATTGTAAATTTGTTATAAAATGTAAACTTCAAAAAATTGAGTTTACATTTTGTAACAAATAGCACTCTTTTGGCTATTTGCTAATAAAATGTTAACTCAAAATATTTCTTGAAGTTTACAATAGTTAACAGTAATAATTTTAAAAAATATCCGAAACGCATTCGCTGATCTTTAGCTATATATGACTAAATAATAAAGTAAATCAAATAATCATTTACTTTGAAAACCGTGCGACCTTTGGGCATTCCTAATTGCGGGGCGGACGTAGATTTAGTGTACTTTTTTCTCCTGTCAATAAAAATATTCTAATGTGAAATCGCAGTCGAAATAATACGACGCGATATGATTAATTCAACGATCAATACAATTATAGAACTTCTATTCTAATTCTATTATATTAATAAATAAAATATTTTGATGCAAATAATGCAGCAGAATAACGTAGTAAAGATAAGCCCACGGATAAACTCTGCTGCTGCTATTGCTGACGTCTTTGCTGTTGTAACTGATTGCGGCCAGGCAACGTTCCTCGTCCGCGTGCTCCTGGCATCCCCCTGGGCATCGTCCAAACCTATCTCTCCACCATTCCTTCAATTTTTGAACCACGCCCTTACGCGACTTCGAGGGGCACGTATCCGGCTGGCAATAGTCTGAGTTTTCATAGAGAACCGCAAATCTGAACAGAAAAGCACGGATTGAATATCATTACAGCATCTTCCTATAAATAGTATTCGTTTTTCCAAAAAATGAACAACAAAAACATTATAACAAGAAGAGATTAATAAATTAAATAATAAATCTGAATAACTTAAAATAATTAACCACATATAGATTCACACATTCGGAGGAAGCAAGATATATAAAATGCGACATAGGAAAAAAGATAAACGAAAGAAAAGGGTGTCTCAACTTACGGTGTAGCCTTTGATTCGCAGGGTGGACAGCCCTCGGAAGGTTTGGTGAGGAATTTGTAGCACACTAAGCACAAACCCACCAATAACCATATCACCAGTACGGATACCAGTGCTATAATCACGAGCTCCGTCGGCCCAAGCGTCATTGTACTGTCTGAATTAATACAAATTTAATTATTCTACAATTTAGCTGTTTAATTGTATTTTGAGCGATTGGAAAGTAGTGCTATTTTAAATTAATGATACAGATGCAAAAACGAAAAAATTATGTTGTCTCACGAGAGAATAACCTACTTTCTCCCTTTCCTTTGTAAAGAGACGACGCACTCTTGTCCGCCTGACTCACACGTTCCGCGCCTACTTTGGGCATAACTTGATAAGTACCACTTGTTCTGCTCTTCATTATATCGCCGCCAATATCTAACACATCAAGCCATAAGAAATGCGCTATAAAATTATTTGCGAGAAGAAATAGTATAAACCGTATTTATATACTTTTTTTTTTTTTTTTTTTTTTCAAAAAACCGATACATTATATTATCGAATGTGCTGAAATATATGTCTTTTAAAGATTGATTAATTTTCTTGATTAATTAATTTTCTTTCTACTTAAAAATTTTTCATACAAAATCTCGAAGACTATTTATTGTATAATCTTCTCATATTTTATACTTGTAAAATAAAGCAGAACCTTTCCGAGAAATCGTATGCGCGATAAGAAAATTATAGCGCGGCAAAATGCACAAGGTCATTTTGATCCCCGATGTGCATCAAAGGATTAATGGACACGCGTTTATATTTTACTCCCCTTGAAAGCGCACGTTGAAATCGCGCACGAATTTACAAACACGGTCAGAGAAATGTTGCAGAGGGTTGCAGTTTCTTAGCTATACGAACGCTTAAACGGAATAGCATATCGGCCTCGTTAATTTTCAAACGTGGCGAATCGCAACGAAAGACCCGTCATGAAATATTACCCGATTCTCGCAAAGTAGCCAGTACTCGGAGGACACCGCCGAATGCTGGATACCACTTCTCGTCGTCTAGGTGTCGACGTACCTGGAATGCGAAAGATATCTTTTTTTTTTTGTTCGGTTTTCGTTCAAAATTAATCTGACGCAACCGCGTCGAAGTTAGAGAAAGTCTGTGGAAAAGGAATAAAATATTTTCACACAAGACTTTTCCAACATAGGAGGATTTGAGGATTTTTTTTCCGGATATTTTGTATTATCGTTATATTTCGTCGATGATCTGCTCACGACGTACAGATCGTTGCAACCAGGCGTAGAAGTCCCTGTTGAACGTTCGCAGCCGCGTTTTCGTGCTCGATCGCGAGGTGATGCACTTCACGCTGGTGATGTAGTACTTCACGAGGATGAAAGCCGACTTTTCCGAGTACAATGATTGCAGGCTGTCGGTTTTGAAGGGCAGCGCGATGCTAGGTAAGGAATGATGTGTTGAAGCTGTGTCTGATCGCCGAGGCCATTCTTACAAATTGCCATTCGATAACTACCTGTTAGGCTCTGCTTCATTATCGAGGATCGGGAGGGGTATTACGACTTCGCTCGTTGTCGCCTCATTTCTGTAGCCTTGGCAAAATAAAATATCTAGTAATAATTGGTACTAACTATGTGTGGCGTTTAAGATTAAACATAAATTGTGATAATTGTAAGAATTGCTGTAGAGAATGTTTTGCAAGTTTCACATGAAAGTATTCGATTCAGTCTCTTTACACACAGATAATTATATTAATTTAATTATTTTAATTATGTACATCAGAGATTTTTATACAAAAATAGCTTCTTTTTTTTATATTTTTTTAGATGGCAATGGTCGTATTACTTTTAGCTTTCATTCGTATGTCAGCCACATGGAATACTAAAATAGTACACAAGTGTCATTTAAAGTTAAATTCGTTCCATCGTTCTCACCATCGACCGCACGTCTCGAATGTCCCTGCTTCATCGTGGACCGTCTTTTTTTTCTGAACGTGAAGCTCCGATAATCACCGTCATGTTTGGAAGCTATTATGAAAAAGCAATAAGTTATCGAAATGTTATTTTCACGATCCTATATCAAGATGAATTCGATACGTAATAATTTTTAACTTGCAATTAGATTTGAAAAAAAATATTTCCTCAGTCAACGGAAATCTATGACTATATTTTTTGTTTTCAAAACGCTTATTGTTTAGAAAATTCGATATCGAAATAATATATATTTAATATGCGTCCACTTTTTTTAAATTTCTTTGACTAAACAATCGCTGCACTTACACGCCGAATACGTGATAAGCCCGTTACAGGCGACCGACGTTTTCGGTGGTGTAATTACGATGGGAGGGATCCGGATGTTTGGAAGGTCCTGGCTGGGCTTCGACCAGCCGGCGCCGTTGGTCCGAAGGAAGACCTTCAGCTCGTCGAAGAGCTCGAACAGCATCCTCGTGTTACGATACTTGATGTTACCCGCGTAATACGAATGCCTTGTGATGGGGAGGATGTAGGCCCGCAAGTAACCGCCTAGAGTGTCCGCCAGAGCTTTCAACATCAAATGCTTCGTTTTGCCCACGGACAGCCTCCGCACACTCTCGAGGCATATGTGAAAATAGTCCATAAGGTGCGCTATGTACTGATCATTCTGGGGATCGATGACATTCACCTGGCGGAGACGAAAATCTTAGAAAGCGCTTCCTATGCGCTCCTCTAAGCAGAGCACTCACTCCTCATTATAGAAGACTAGCTATCTTTAGACTTATCTCTTATCTTTATTCTTATTGAAATCTCAAAATATATCGACTTCTTTATTATAAATTAATTTTTAAAAAGAAATAAAAAGTAAAAAAATACATTCTCTAGGATTCGAATTATTTTTGTTACTTTTTGTGATAAATATTCGTTTCGATTTTTATAACACAGTTTGTACCAACGTTCTTGAAAAATGTATTTTTACTGATCTTACATTTGGTAGAAGATCTTGAAACATCCTCCGACTACTAAGAATAGTAAATTCCTCATCTGTCCAGCATTGCTTTCGAAAATCGTTTCTTTCGAATAAAACTGTACCAGTTTTTTGACCATGTTTAAAAGATTTAGCCTCAATTATTCTGCCGCGAATTATACAAAACAGATAATAAATGCATTTAAAACTTTAATCTCTAAAACTAAATAGTAACATTACGTGATTACGTTTAATGTAAATTTTAACAAGTTTATTTTTTTAAGTATCGATAATATTGATATTGCATAAAATTAAAGAAATGTAGACATTTCATTGTTAAATAATATATGTATATCTTTATCAAATGCAACAAACCTTACACTGGAGATGCAGCTTACAAATACCCAAAAAAGCCACAAAAGACATATGTTCATACTCCGAAAAAAGAATTCTAAATGTTCAACCGCGTGATTTTTTTTCGCGGGTTTCTTGGATATTTCTGACAAGCCTGACGGCTTGCGCCCATTATTCTATCACAACTATCATGCATATCACTTCGTGTTAATAAAACAATAACTTCAGACTTTATCATTTATGAAAAATTTACAATAAAAATATAGATATACTTAAAAAAATATATAAAAAATTCGAGAAAAATCAAAGAACATAATAAGTAGAATATGAGAGAATATGGGAGAGAATAAATATTGCAAAAAATACAATTGTAGTATAATACATATTCATTGAATCACGCAGATAAATAATCAATAATTTCATAACAATGAATGATATTGTACATAGTCAATTTATGTATATTCTAAAATTATACCATGACATAATTAAAAATCGAAAAATGATGCTTTTTTTCTTATCATTGCTACAAATTATAATGTAGAACAAGAGATAAAATAGTCTTATAAAGATATTATTTATTGTTACTATATTAGCTATTTAGACGTATATTATACAAGAATGCAAATGTTTAAAATAAACATTGTAAAACAAGAGAAGATATTTATTCGCTAAATTATCGTAAATATCATAATAAATGTATCAGTGTGTACGAATTAAAAAATTAATTTTTAGATTCTTTCATTTTACACAAAAATCGCAATTGCAAGAATTTTATCTCGTCTGTGTTGAGTTTTACCACTCCCTCTTGATTATCGATCGAAAGTAAAGTGCCGACAGCTTCGCGGTCTTCACCTAGAATCACTTTGACTCGGTCGCCACGTGACGGTACCACAGGCTCCAGTTGTTCGCATACTAAGTTCACAACTCGATCTTCAGTAGGTAGATAAACGGTGCACATACCGCCCTGCCGCAAATAAACGTGTCAGTTTTGAAAAATCGGAAAGACGCGTGTATATAAACTATCGATATCGCAATATCTTAGTCTATCCAGAACTGACACAAAATCACTTACTGAAATTCCTCGGATGACTGCTTGCTGTCCAGCGAGTGCAGGATCGTCGTGGGAGTCGCGAATACGTACTTCAATATCCGTCGTGTGCCATTCCGAGCTACCTATGATGCCAGAACCAACTGCATCCATTGATGAACCGGGCGTTTGTGGATTGTATGGACTACCTGGTATCCCTGGAAAAGAATTTCAAATTATACTGCATAAATATATTGAGCTGCATAAACTTCATATCGAGTCCACAACTTGCGATCGAAAATTTGCTTCTGCTAAAGATGACGCATGACTTTGTGTAATTAAGTTCTCTGTTATGTAAATTAGAATATAGATACAGAGTTACAAAGTCCTAGATCTTTATTTATAATTAATATTTGTAAATAACACAAGAAGAAAGTTAAAAAGCAATCATATTTGCAATGTTAAATTATAAAATCATTGCAACATTGAGAAATTTATAATAGAAAAATAAATTTCTATCTTTACTCATTAAGATTTCCAATTTCTACTCGCGTTAAGATTTATATATATTATATATATATTATATATATATATATATATATATATATATATTGTATATATTATTATATATATTACATTTTTTTCCATTACATTACTTACCAGGTGTCATAGGACTGTAGCCCATCGGAGACGGAGTCGCAAATGCTCCATGTGGGCTGGTAGTGTATCCAGTACCACTTGGGGACGGAGTGGCAACGTAACCTGCAGGACTCGGGCTCGCGGTAGTACTGCCCCCAGGACTAGGACTCGGTTGATACGAACTGAAACTTTGTTCCGAGCCGTACATAGTTCCCGGAGTCTGCGGAGTAAACGGTCCCCCGGTAGGAGGATATCCGGGCCCGTAACCGGGCGAACCACCCTCTTCCATACTGTATCCATCGAAGTCGTTCGTTCTGGCGGGCGTGTTGGTAACAGTCGGATCCCAGGCTCCAGACTGTCCTGGAGTTCGAGATCCGTCGTGCGACGGCGTCATCGATCCGTAATGCGGAGTACGAGAACCGTCTGTGAACATTGAAATGGAAAAAGATTATACTTTCTATATATGTCTGTCCCATATAAAAGAAAAGTAAATAAATATACTCACTCTCGTACATCGGCGTCTGAGAACCGTGCATAGGTGTTTTAGATCCATCCCTCGTGTACATCGGCGTCTGTCCACCAGGTCCGTAAGCCGGAGTTCTGTTGTAGCTACTAAAGCCGCCATCTTTTGTTGGCACGCCGACGTTTGCTATGTGAGATCGGTCGACGGAGATTGTTTGGCACGTCGAATGCAGTTCAACGCGCGCTGTGTTCTCCGTCGCATCTTTTACTATACCGACATTTCCCTTGTACGGTCCGCCTGTTATCTTGATGGTGGTCCCAATTAATTCCCTGTCGCGTCTCGCACCGGCACCACCACCGCGGCCCCTGCCTCTTCCACCTCCACCACCTCGTCCAAAACCACCTCTGTAAGATTAATCGATAGTTTGCATATAAGTAAACATTCAAAGAATACATCAAATAAATATAGAATGTATGAGAGATCACACGTACCCGCTGGGATGCATCGGGGAGGCAATTCTAGGCGACATAAATCCTGCCACTGGTGACATTGAATTAATAGACGTTGTTTTATTTCCACCGGACAGCTGTAAATGTCTAGTCTTGCAAACAAATATTCCACCGTTGTCAACAAACATTCTTGAGTGCAAAAAGGCAAAACTTCTGTACAGGTGTTTAATTTCACCACCTCGACCCGCATGCGGCCCGTCAACCACTTTAACGATGTCCTTCTTCTGTATCGTGTTCTGTTGCGAGTCCAAAGCGACCGCGTTTCTATTCTCTCGACGCTTCGTAAGCCCTTGCGGTCTTGCCTCGACCACTTTCCCATGCATCGAGAGTACGTGGAAATTCTCGCGTTCCAATCGGACGATAACGCCGACCGTTTGTGTATCTAGCTGCACCAAGTCACCCCATTGGAATTGTCCTAAGCTATCGACGCCGGTAGCCATGTCAGAGCATAATTGTAGATCCCTCGGAAGAACCTCGAGTTCGTGCATCGACAAATCGGAGAATAAAACTACTCTATTTTGTTCGACTCTAACAATTAAACCTGTATCGCCTTCATATCTACCGGCTACAACCTGCAAAGTAATAAAACAGCATTGTCAATAATGTTGTCAAAAGTAAAATAATTTAGTAATGTTGTAAAAAAATATATTTTTATGCTATTTAAAATTTACCTTAACATGGTCACCTTGCGTAAAGTATTTTCGTAGCTCCGAAGCTTGAAATTCTAAAGCTTCTTTAAGCTCTTCGTGTTTCGGCATAACCATAATCATGTTCCCATCTATGGAAACAATTTTTCCCTGCAGATTTATTAATTCACCTTCGCAGACTTCTACATTATCTCCGTTACTGAAGGAATGAATTAGAGACTGATCTTCTTTCCCAGAAGTACCAGTTCCAGGCGCGCCACTTAAATCTATCTCAACACCTTCCGGCGCCTCCTCAAATCTCTCCAATTCGGAAAGTGTAGGCTTAACACCTTCCGCAATAATAGCACTTGTAGTAAAATTTTTATACAGAAAACTGCAAAAAATAAGAGATAATTTGAATTGATAAAAATTAAATGTCTAAATATATATAATAATATACAATAAAGTGGAATAAAATAAGAAAACAAACCCTTTTCGACTATATCTGTTTCCTTCAAAAATAAGGAAATCACCGTCGCTGGTAACCTCTCCGCCAATCGCACGGATTGCTTCCGGATCGAATGGTTTTGCAGGTGGTCGTCTTTTCTTTTTCCGTTTCAGCGCTTCGGATTCGCTCTGCGCTGTTCTCAATGCGCCACGTGGTCTAGTGTAGTCGATTCTCGGAAGCAATTTCAAGTGAACCTGATTCTGTGCTAAATCGACATAATCAACTTGAGCTATGTCATCTTTATAAATCCCTCGTTTCAAACGGACCCATTGTTTAGCTTTCAACCCGGTCTGCTCTTTAACTACTCGCAGCACATCCGTCATCTCTTTAATGGGTACCATTTGCTGCTTCCATATACCCATTCTGAGATTTCCTACATTTTCAATAGCAGCTTTCACATGCGGCTGCTTGTAAGCCTCTATATAAATGTAACCCTTGACGCCTTCCGGAGCCACGACGGATTTTATCTGGAGAGGTTCACCTAAAATTTTTCAAAAAGGCAAAGGAACGTTTTTAGATATTTATATGCAAATAGATGTAATCGAAAAGATATAATCTTTCAAATTTATATTTTCTTACTGGAAAATTGATACGTGATAAATTTACGCATCAACAACAAGACGGTAGCCTTTTCTTCTCCTATACGGCATTTCACCATCCACAAATTTGGATCTTTCACGCCGGGCAACAAAGTTTGCTGGGTGATTTCGTCACTCATTTCTTCGCCGCCGTCGCCAAAACGACGAGCGGCGATCGATTCGTCGGCATACTTTTTCCGGAGGTACTCCTCAATTTCATCCTCTTTCTGCGAACTAGAAGATTTCATTCATTAAAGAATCAATTCCTTTTTATTAGGACAAACATGAAAATATACAAAATTATCTTCAAAGTTTGAATACTTACTCCCAAAGATTTGTACCTCTACGTCGTCCTTCAATCTCACGCGCAGTCGGTCCTAGTTCGTCCACTTCGTTTCCCACGATACCAATTTCTTGGGCACCTTCCTCCCATTCATCGTCATCCTCCACTTCATCATCTACTTCAGCTTCGTCTATAATGAAGCCGCCAAACCTATCCTTCTTCTTTTTCTTTCTCGGCCTATCATCGTCCTCTTCGTCTTCTTCCTCATCGTATTCACTGCTATTGTCCAAGTCTTCTCCTGCAACCATAAAATAAAAAACATAACGTAAACGAAAAATTATAAAACTATTTGTAAAGATTGCAAAAACACTCTCTTACGTTTTATTCGCACATGAGATTAAAAATGTTCTGATTTATTATACCTTCAGGTTCCTCTTCTGGTTCCACAGCTTCTTCATCTCCCGATCTGACTTCTTCTGCCTCGTCCATCTTCGCGTCTCCATCTTCTGAGCTATAAGTAAAATAAACATTATATACAATAAAATAAATTCCAGATATATTTAAGGAATATTTAGGATTTCCTTTTCGTTCCAGACACAAGAAAATAAATAATCATACTTTTATTTGTAACATATAATATAAAATTAAATAGTTTTTAACTCACATAAAATTATTATAAAAACACTCATTCTCTTTTAATATAATTTCTTATTTATTGCAAAAATTGAATATCTTAGAAATAAAATGAGATAATTTGAGTGCTGATGATGTGACGGTTGTATTGTCACGATTCTAATCATAGAATTATTTCTTTTACATGTACACACATACTTCGACACAATAATAATAAACGTGGCAATTACTACTAAATAATTAATCAACCGCTACAGAACACGAGGATTAAGCGGCTTCATTGATAAATTACAGCAAATCTGTTAATGTTCATTTTTCTTTACTCAAATTATATATAATTGTTTTCTTACAAACCAATGTTATAAGTATATTAGAACTATTCTACAATAATAAGTGTAATTGTAAATGGATGTAACTGTAAGAATTGAGCAATCACAGTTGAATATTCTTCTCATATTCGATTAATCAATTCTTACAACAATTCTTACAACTTACAATTATACTATTGTAGAACAGGCTTTATAATCAATGGCATTTAATGCCCAAATGATCAGGCTATGAATAGGATCAGCGATTAGTCGACAAACCAGCAAATAAACGAGAGTACCTTTTTTATTAAATTTTAAAAATTTGGAGTAGATTCTCCGATGACACATTGCTAACGAAGGAAACCGATTTCGTGCAGCGAAGCAAGATGGGAATTCGACTGTCGGACACAGAGAGACTCAAGTGATACAATTGCACGTAGTAAAAACAGAACGGAGTAAATTTTAATTTTCTGAACTTCATTTCTTGTCATCTACCCAAAACCATCCTCGCTAAAGTGATAACGATGCTTTACGTAGGTCCTAGATTATGCTCCAGCATAAAAAATAAATCGTTAACAGTCTAAAAATAATTCATTTTCTTGGATTTGCAACAAAGGTAAATTGATGCTACAATCACAGATTTTGAGTACACATACGTGTCAACAGATCTGATAACAAGTCCTACATATGTTACATATAAAGATGTGTACAATTACACAATTCTAAATGCATTGGGTACTACTACTTCAGGTTGCGTTTCGTTTCATGATATATAACTTTATTTAACATTCAGCAAGCAATAAGGCTACAATGTCACAGTATACGCATCATGCAACGAAACGTGGTGCATCTTTGGACTCACCCGGACGGTGATCGGGAACGCGATCGAGATCTGGACGGGCTCCTGGATCCCGAGCTTCGCGACGGACTTCTGCTGCGAGAGACGCTTCGAGATCTTCCTCCGACGCTTCCCGCGTCGCTGGCACCTGCAATAAGTTCCATCGTGTGTATCTCCTATCAACGACATACGTTATATCTCGTTCGATACTAGCCCATGTCGACCGGAGCATTACCTTCTGAATCCGACATATCGGGATTATTCGTGCGTGCCGAACCGTGAAAACGGAGTTTGGAAAGGTCGAGAACGTGCGAGAGTATCGCGGCCTAACAGCGAGCCTACAATTGCGACAACAAATTGTAACGAATGGGCTGAATGGGCACAGTATCGCGACACGAAGTACAATCAAACAACACCACCGACGACACCGACGGCCATGATGCAAGAAAACACGGTGGTGAGGCGTGAGCTCGTAACGACACGAGACATCATGGCGTCGAAAGCGAACTGCAGCGACCACAACGAGCTTGATGCGAACTAAATAGAACAGGTTTCTCTCTGACAAGAACGCTCGACAGTCGGTAGCGCCTCTACCGAAGCTGGCTTCTGGCAGATTTTTTAAATTTATTTTATATTTATTATTTTAAATAAGTTGTGTCAGTTATTTACCAACCCCTGGACTGTTTCTATTTAGATTATCACACCGAGCGAGAGAAATCGGCTAAGGGTAATTTAAGCAATCAAATGATTTTACAGTTCTGTTAATTACAGAATCGTTTTGCCCATTTCGCGATATTAAATTATCTGTTAGATTACCGTAATGTGTATCAGAAGTTTGTAACAATTAAAAGCAAGCAATTACGATTTTTTATCCTAGCCGTGCAACAGAGAAAAAAAAGAACCCATCAACTTCTCTTTCGTTTAGAAATTAAATTAAAATTAAATTACATGCATAAAATTAAAATTAAAATTAAATTACATGCATAATAAGTCGTGTGTGAGTCTCTGAATCTACGGTATTGTCGTCACTCGTTATTTCCGAAGAGCACGCAGTACAATATACGATATGCTTAATCTCGGCGTGATTATTCAGTCAAAATTCAATAGAAAAAAATTAACGTCGCGGCATTATTCCCGCGGCGAGGCGAACCGCGAGCCGCGGGCTGAGCGGCGCGCATGCGCGTGGGGAGAGTGGGGAGACCGGGCTCGGCGGCTCGACGGCCGCGGCACGCTGGCGAGGCGCGGGGCGATCCGTAGTAGGGAATTGGCGCGGCGTGTGGATGGTACTGTGTGACGCGCGCCCGGCGCGGCGAGCTTTAATTCGAAATTATCGAACTCTATCGCTCAAGCATTCGAGCAGCACGCATATAGTAAATGCGCGTTCGGCAGTACGCACAATGAATGCGTATTCGACAGTACACATATAGTGAGTGCGCGTTCAGCAACAATACGCAGTGTATAATTAATAATAAGTGCGCGTTCGGCAGTATGGCACGCATATATAGTTAGTGCGCGCGTTCGGCCAAAGCCCAATCGAGCCTACATCCGTCAGTCAGAGCACAAAGTCCGAGGTCGGATCAGTCATCGAGACGGAGAAGTCGGAGATTGATCGCGGTTCATCGAAAGAGAAGCGAGATCCGAGGATGGACGATCGTGACCTGAGTACAACGATATAGGTAAGTAACAATTAATAATATACTTAGTACTTATCATAAGAATAGATTTCGCATTGAAAGATACATTATATATAATTTATTTCTATCGACGGCAAATCGTGTTGCGGGTCATTTGATTTTGTCGCTGCGCGAATCTGATGCATGATCGATTATTGTTACAGCAACATCTTACTTATCATAGAAATTTTTAAATATATTAATTATTATAAAATTTATCGGTTTGGATAGAAAATTTCTAGAGACTCGAGAATTTTTATATTACCAGAGACGTCGCAAAATGAATGTTGCATTTCTATTTTAACTATAATTTATTCGTTTTAATTATACTTTTCCTTGCTCTTTGATACAATTCAATATGTTGTCTGCTCTATTTTATTTCACATATAAAGGCATATTATATTATTACGTTCAAAATTATATGTAATAACTGCATGAATATAATATCTTGTAATTATATGTAATAATTACAAGAATTTGAACGTAAAAGATTGATCGAAATGAATTTCTTGTTGACGCGATTGATTATCGACATTCGGGAGTATCTTGTTCCACAGTAAAACTGAATTTTTGCACAAATTGTGTGTACATTTAAAATTAAAAAATTGTTTTAAACTTAAAGACATAGAGGGAGAAGAAATTATTTTAATTATACGCTCGCAAAAAGTATTAGACAATGATAGAATAATAAGAATCGTAATTTTAAATCGTTAATTCTTCAATTTAAATTTGTAGCTTTAAAAGTTTCGCACTATTCAATTATATATACATCAGTGTTTATAGAATTTTTATAAATCCGACTCTTCTACTATTCTATCATAGTCATCAACAATTGAAAGTTCAAGAGTATCGCCAAACTTCTAGTAATTAAAGGATTTTGCTGTTGCTGGTAGCCAAGTAGTAGTTTATACATACGGATCTAACACAGGTGTAGGATTTCTGAAAATAAAAAATATTTTTATCTTGCTTTGTTATCATCTTTTCCAACAATATCTTTGTTACACAACCTCTGATAATTACCCCGTCTTTGCAAAATTGGTCCACATTCTCGTAAAAATTTCTACTAATATTGTACTGTGCTTTTTTTCTATAAAATATAGCATTATTCCAATGTAGATAAACTTAATTAGAAATTATACTGTAATTATTGACATATTCTTAATTTTTAATAAAACTATAAGCAAGGGGCAGCTGAAAAGTCTGCCGCACAACCCGTCATACTGCCTAATATGTATATGCAACACATATGCAGTACATACAAATGTGATGCAAGCCATCACCTAGGTGACGGATAAACAAGAGGGTTATAATTAATCGCCATCGAATACTACTCATTGTCAGCCGAACTTTATTTCGGGAGTTTCCGAGTGTATTATACGTTATTCATTTTTGTCATGTCAGAAAACATCGCGGAAAGCCTCCTCGCGCAATATTACGGAATTTTCGAAAATTCGAAAACTGAAAAATGTCCATCGATCCGGGAATGTGTAGGCAGCGTGGAGAACGATTCGGATAAATTGATCGAGCAATCAACCGTGGACACGAATGATGACGACACGTCCAAGGAAACGGAAGTACAGGTGCGAATTTTAATACAATTCTATTATTATTGTTAAACTTGATTTATTATTCATAAATAATAATGATTGACAATACATATGCAATTGATCAATTACGATAAACGGAATCAATGACAGATATCGCAGCACTCATGCTCCGTTATGTCGGAGCAGCGTAATTTTTTTTTGCGATTTTAAATAATAATTAAAATATTGTCATACATTGCTCGGATGAATATGTTTTAATAATGATATAGAAATATTATTCGACTGAATAAAATTTAAAAGAATGTTTTGCTATTCACAATAATTTAATGAAAATTTTTTTTACTTAAAATTTAAAGATATTTGTAAGAAAAAATAAGCTAGCTGTATTAAAAGATTCGCGTTATTTACACTGCGGTAAACATATATAAAAAGAAAAGACGTACATTTCAATTCCATCAACCTTTGTTGCAAAATGTAAATACACGCGCGCGTGCACGGTGCAAATAGTACTTTAACATTATGCATGCAGGAAAATGATATTGAAAACAAGGAGGAGAATTCTGAAATTGATACTCCGGCGAGATCCTCGCGAACGTTGAAATGGGAAGCGCTCGAAGACGACGAAGAAACGTCCTCCGAGTTCGATATTATTTTCGAAACGAATACAACAGACAATTTATATGAAAATACCTGTGCCTCCTCCGGCAAAGAGACGCACGATCTCGCTACATATGGCAAGACTGCCTCCACGGCGTTAGGTAAATATAAAACATCGTAGAACGAAACATAATTTGAAATGGATATTTATGGATATTAATTAATATATGTTTTCACTATACGAGAAGGTCTGGAAGACAACGAAGGGAACGATTCGTATCTCTCGCTTAGCGAAGACATACTGCCGGATAGTGCTTCAGACATTTCTTCAATAGCGGGAATGAGAAAAACGAAGAAATCTGCGATAACGTTTGTTCCACCTTCGACGCCGCCGCCAAATAGAACTCCGATATACAACGAGACTTTTGTAGATTTAACGAGTACCGGCCTTACGTCAGTTCCTATCGAAACGATTGAGAAGTATCCTACGATACAAGTACGTACGTAGTGCGGATGATCTTTGCTGTCCGAAACATTTGCGAGATTTAGATTCTGATTTCTTTTGATCCCTGTAACGTCACTTTTATGTCACCGTTTTTTCAATTTTATATGCTACATAAATAGTTCATTTAATTTTATAGATGCTGTATCTTGAGGATAATAATCTTTCCGAGCTTCCCGAAAGGCTTTTCGTTTCCCTGCAACATTTACAGTGGCTGGACGTTCGAAATAATGTACTGACAAGCCTACCCACGAGCATCAAGTCGCATCCTTCGCTGGAGACCATCTTGCTGCAGGGAAATAAAATTGAGAAATTGCCATTAGAACTTTGTAAGTAAGTATAACTTCGTAAGTGGTCAGATATACATGTGAAACACTTATAAATTATATTTTGTCAATTATATCATTGAGTCTCTTCCTTTTTATATTAACGATGAATTTTTATTGTAGGTCTGGTACCGAAACTTAAAACTCTGAATGTAGCACATAATCCTATCACTGTCCCTCCAAAGGATGTTATAACTCTTGGATGTGCGAGTATTCTCAGCTATCTCCGGTCTGAATGGAATAAATTGCATCCGAATGAGCCCGTGACATTTGTGAAACGTAAGAATTTCACAAATTTATATTGCACTCTTGCTGCAACTTTGTCACACCACAAGCATGTATTAGCAATTTTATTTAAATTTATTAATTATTGAAGTAAAACTAGCAAAACAAACTGTAATAATTATCATCAAAGTTAAATCATAATTTATTTTATATCACAAATTGACAGTATTCAAAAATTAATAAATTAATAAATAAAATAAACAGCTATGAGCCAAAATAAATTGTTTAATGCTCCAAGTAAAATTCGTTAAATTTACAAGAATTTAATAACATACGTTTTGATCCTCATCGGGTATCATCAATGTTAAAATAAAACAGTTATCGCATTGAACCTATAAACAGAAATCGGAAATTCGAATGGTTTAACAATAAAATCTTTAAACGAATATAAATCTTGATGATATAAAAATCGAATGTAAAAATACAGATTGATTTTCGGCGCCAGTTTTCCTCATATTCCTTACATGGAAGTTTACATTGATGCAAATTAATACAGTGTATAAAAACGCCATCACTGATTTCTGGTTATACAAAGCCAATTGGAAGTCGTAATAGTACCTAAATTAGTTAACCAGGAATCCGTGTTACAATCAATATAAAATTAACAGACATCCAGTGACAACTTTGCATTTTATTGATGTAGATTAAATTGGTGTTAATTAAATAATAAAAGAAATTAAATGATGAACGGTGTAAACACATACACCATTCATCATCATTTAATTTTCTCTTATCATTTAATTAATTTCTTTTATTATTTAATTAATTCTATAATTTAATTGATTTTAGAGAAGATTGAACCAAAGGCATCGACAATCTTGTGTTATCAGTCTCCGCGAGAAAAAGAACGATGGAAATTATCGAAAGCTCCGCGTCGAGCATCGAAGAGCACGAACGACATCGGCGGTTCGTTCAAAGGATCTGCGGTCAGGAAGAGAAGTAGAGCTTACAAGCCCAGTAACAGGTATAGCAACGTGCATAATGACGCCTTTCTGGAGAATCTGGTAAACACCATCAGTGATACGCGTAACAATAGCGCGGCGGGCTCTCTTTGCGCATCGTGCGCACGAAACTTTGCTGCTGTCCGATACAAGGACGAGATTAACAGGAATGAGAAAGAGATTAACGACGAGGTGAACTATAATCAGGACGAAAAATGCGAGCAGCACGATTTTTTAAAAATGATAGCTTCGTGCGACGATGTCAAGAGAACGTGCATCAGGGGAGAGATCGCCGAAGTGGACGCGACAATCTTGCATTTAACCGGGCCGTCGCCCAGATCGTGTTACGTTAGGCAAAACGTTGCGGAGCTGATAACGTATAAGCATTATCGCGAGAAGGAGTGTAGAATTAAGACGATCAGTAACGAGACGAAGCACATCGCGCTCGCGAAGTCGCAGCATTCCGCGGTGCCCAACGAGGAAAAATTGAAATGTAGAAACGCTGAACGCTCGGAGCTGATCTTCGATATTGTCACAAAAGACATGCGACGAATGCAGTTGCGGCCGATGCAGCTGAAAGACTCGCGCAGCATGTTATCGTGCTTGGAGAATTATCTCGATATCAAAAAAGCCGATTAGATTTTAATTATTAATTTAGATTAGAGGATTAGATTTTAGACTAGCTGATTACATTTTAATTATTAAGTATTAAATACTATTATATTTTTATTGATAGTAACTAAAATAACTAATATTATTAAATAATGGCATTTAAATGCAGGAATTTTAAAAAATGTACGAAAAATAATTATTTAATTATACATCCTTAATCTATAATAATTTATAACAATGTAAAAAATGCGATCAATATTTTACGTTTAGATGCGAAGGTAAAGGTACTAACATTGTTATGGAACAACGACAGCAATGGATTTCTAAAGCGAGAGATTTGCTGAGTGTACAATCGGCAACAATTCAAAGAATTAAGTAAGGCATATATCTACTTTCACTGTTCTCATTATATCTGTAAACGCATTATACGCATAAACTGTATTGTATAATACGCAGGAATTTAGACACTATAAAAGAATGGAGACGTGACAAACGAAGCTTCAATAAAAGCATGGAAAAGATATCGAGAAGAAATGAAGGTATAACTATATGATATATATACATTTATATATAGGTATATCTATAATATATTTATGGGTAGATCTATATGTATAGGTATATCTATAAAAACTAAGATTTGTAATCTATCTATAAATAGTTATAAAAACTAAGATTTGTAATCGGACTTTTATATTTTTTACTCATCGGAACATAGATACAAAATTCGGATACGAAGTTCGATAGTATTATAATGTAATATTTTATATTGTATCACAAAATATTTGTTTATTAGATGATATTCCATTTGCAATTAACATTGAAGACTACCCTGCAATACGGAAACGTTCACAAAAAGCGGTATGATAATCTAATATTTTGTCCAAAAATATTGAGTCGAAAAAATAGTGAACATTTTGTTTATTATTGTCTAATCTAGGGAGACTATGCAAATAATCAGAAACAGGAAAAGTTAAAATCAGAGTAAGTTCGAATGAATAATGTACATTTTATCAAAATATAAAAAATAAGTCAATGTAACTTTAAATGTTACTCATCGTATTTCAGAGATATAAATCAAAAGATTCAAGAATATTCAACATTTCTACAGAAGCTCGAAATTACAAAATCTTCAGAAATATTAACACCTAAATCTAAACAAAAATATCTACAAAATGAAATTAAAAAGGTATATTCTGTATCATTTTGTCTCTATCAAAACTTATTGACAAGATTATAATTACTATCTGGATTTATTTCATAGCTCTCACATCTTCAAAAGGAAGTGCACAATCTAAGGAGATACAACGAAATTGTATCAGTCCCAATGAATACTCCACACAATTTATTTTAACATTTTCTTTTATTCCGATCATTTTTTTTTATGAAAAATTTAAAATTAAAAAACTCATATCAGTCTCTTGAGGTATTTTATTTAAATAAAACAATATTATATCATATGTATTACAATATATTAATTTTACGCCCAGTCTCAGTGGCACATGTCAAGGTAATTGGAAAAGAAATAAGTTTAGTTTGCATAATAAAAAAGTGAAATAGAATTAAAATTTCACGGATGTATCAGATATACATGTACAGAAAATATGTGTAACTAATAATAAAATAAGATAGAGTTAATAAAAGATACATGTTGTGATACATATATTTCAAAGATATCCGTAAGAATCATTAAAATAATTTTACGAAAGAACGTTCTTTCCAGTTTCCTTGCCAGTGCATTCGCTCCTTTTTACTTCACCATCGGATATATGCAGTATAAAAGTTCTAAAAGCAATTACCATCACAAAATACAAGAAGTAAAATCTAGCATACAAATCTGTGCGATAGCCACGAATGATATTTCTTTCCTTTTTGTACATGGCACTCAATGAAGCTTTGTAATAAAGTTTGAAAGTACTGCACAAAATTCTTGGGAAACTATTTTAAATAGTATAGTAAGTTATTACACTATATATCAATATATAGATATAAGGCAAATAATCTATATAATTTTTTTCTAATTAATTCTTTATAAACCTATAAGTCATTGTTTATATTAATTGTATACACTTCATACATTAACATATTTAACTTGTTAATGGTAAATATAATTATTACATAATTAATGAATTTATTAATACCTTCAATCAGAGACATAATAAGAAGTAAATCACTCAAATATTTCTTACATATATATAATATACGTTATTGTTCTTATTACAACATAGCGCATTTACTTATCGTATTAAAAGTAAAAGTTAACATAATAAATTTCTTCCAACAATTAATGCATTACTTAACAATGCGCTTTAAAGTGTTCAAATTGAATACAATATCTAGAATAATTAGTATGAAAAAGAACATCTAATATATATAATATATATTCTGCTCCAATAATAGATTACTAATTATACTAATAATAGATTAATTTTTTTTTAATTGATGTCTCACATATCACATTTCGTAATTTCATATATATATACGTATATTGCAGCAGTTGTATGGCCGATTGAGATAATCCATAATAAAAATTATATATGTGAGATTATATGCATATATACATGAAACTTAAGAAATCTTACAGCTGAAGAGTTCAATGTACATTACAATTGAGCAGTAAACAACTACAAAAAATGTATTCATACATAATATACACCTGATTATCAGATATACATTAAAACTACATACTTAAAATCTAAATCGTATGTCATAATTTCTCACATTCATTTCTTGCATTCATTTAAAAGAAAGTTTAAAGCGCATATAAAAGAAGGTGCACTTTAAAATTGTATTCAGTCATTCCTATGCGTCATTTCGATAAGAAAATACTTTTTAATAAATTCAACGACTTCATTAATGAACACGCTGGTATTTCAAGTCGTATATATTGGGAATTTTATATACATACCACGTTTAAGAAGAAATTCCAATCAGATTTAAACCAATGAGATAGCATGGTGTTACATAGCAGAGTAATATATATCGTCATATATAGACATGATTGTTAATCAAGTAAAAAATGTAATTCATTATACTGAAGTGAATCTAAGATTATGTTGATGTCTCTTTTCTTTTTAACGCAACAGAAATATCAATATAATATTAAATCTTAGTATTAATTATATGTACATATTTATACACTTGTATCAAATACACTTAAAGATTTCGATATCGTGAGAAAGATTATAGCGAATATGTTAGAAATAATGTTACAAATATTCCCGATTGCAGATTATATTATTTTGGAAAATGTACACTTTTTAACCTATCGCATTGGCATGTTTACGTTTTGAAAGGTCTTGAATAAAGGCGTCCAATTTTATTACTTGCTTCTATGTTTTAAGAGCTGTTCCTGAGAAACTACCGTTTAGGAGATGGTCCAAGCAAGTATACTTTGTTCACGACGATCATTGGAGCATTAATTCTTTGTTAGAAACTTCTACACATAGTTTTAATCCCAGGATATTCCTCGTGCGCCGGATTTAAATCGACGAAGCCTAGCTTGCTGTAGAATTCATGAGAGTCTTTGTCTGTCGATATCATCGTCGTGTGTACTCCGAAAGAACCTGTTTCACACAAACATATCCAAAAATATGATTACTTTTTATGTTTGAAATTAAATTGACATCAAATAATATTCAATTATATTAGGAAAAAGTATGTACGACTCAATTTTCAATTAAGATAAAGCTATTATGTTTTGATTTAAAAAAAAAACGTACCGTTTGCTCGTAAAGCTGCAAGAACGCAGGTTATTAAACGTTTACAAACAGACTGGTCTGTCACACTTGGTAGTAGACCGCATATAATTTTCGACGGATGCTGTCTGCACAATTGTTCCGACACATCCGGAATAAATGAATGGAAGTACTGTATGGCATCCTGCGATTTGAAAGTCGTGTCAAAGTACAATGATAGAAACACATAAAAAGAGACGTGAAATAAGATGTTTCCAAATGCTACCTGAACATTTTGTGGCAACTCGCTAATGCTGTTGTCTAAAGGATATTTCATTCGCAATTCAGGAATCGAGGAAACAGCCAGTTTCTGATTGTACGACTTTATGTTCAGCGTAGCCACTACATAGCCGCATATGCCGTTTTCATCCTCGACAACCATACACAAATCCGGACTCAACGTTAGAAATCCTCCGATGAATCTAAGTAGGTAGATACATATCAGAATTCAGTATTCAGAAAATTTTTTTGTTACAAAAAATAAACAAATGATATGTTAATATCATACACACCTGTCTGCCACAGCTGACGAGGTCGTACAATTATTAAGCTGGTTGCACACCGCGTAAACCGCTTCTTCGTCACTCGATAAGTATGGCCGAATTGTATATATCTTACTACTGGGCACTTCGGGCGCTTTATAGACGAATAAGTCATTGCCACTGTCAACTGGGATTAATCTCTAAACATGCGAACGATATTCATCAATACATATCATCGTTCGTATGATCAAACGTAAATAAATGCAAGAGAATTAAATGTACCTGTAAATCAGCCGTAAGCCCACCACGAAAAACCCAAGGCTCCTGATCTCCACTCATAAACGTTTCTTTCCAACCATTTGAAAACCCTATCCCAAGACAAAGAATTTTTAATAAATCACGAAATGCTGGCGTTACATTCGCGCGTTATGCGTGTAGTATTTAATTTCGATTGGCCTCCACTGCTCTGGGCATCAATTTTGCTTAAATCTTTAACATGCAAAGGTACAATTCGATTGAAAGTGTCTTCCTTCCTCTCATTTATTCCGGAATACCTTTCCGCTCCACCTCATGTGGGATATAAGAGAGAAAGAACGATTGATCCAATCGGATAACTAAGGTGCACCAATTTTACAGATTTAAAACAAAGATTAGATAGAGAGATAAATTTTACCATAAAAATATTGTCTTTTTTTTGACAATGTATAATATAAAACCAAAAATTTATGTATAATAGTTAAAAAAATTTTTTAACATTAACTGTATTAAATATTACGCTTTATGCCGGAGAAATTGTTATTAGTAAATAGATAAAAAGAATTCACGGATTTCATAGATGTTGCACCAAAGCTCGCGCAATGCTAAACTCTTGAAGCACTGGATTAGGATCTAGGAAGTGTAGTGGAATAATAGTCCAGTTTGCCAATATGCGCCTGAAATAAAATTCTTATCACGCCTGAAAAGAATATATTCTGAAACTAAGTAAAACAAATTAGTGCAGGCAAGTTGGCAAAAGGAGCGTAGGAGCATTGATCATTTAAGATAAAAAAAGATATTTTTGCGTGTCATTGACAATTCACAGGACAATCATATATTCACAAATCAAAAAATTCGGAAAAATGTCGCATTGGAAAGGTATTTTATCATAAATGATCAAAGATCACAATTTGCAGATGGGAGACGTTCAAGAGTTTATAACTTCCTGTTTGCTAAATATACCAATTCTATGTAATTCTTTGATGGTCATACTTCAGAAACGCAAAAATATATTAAAATTAATACGTGTGTTAAACTATTTTGATCTTTTCAAATATGTACTTACAAAAATTTGATAGAAAAAAACTTACAAATAATTACATAAATGTAAAAAATTAATTCGAACATAAAATATTAAAGTTGTACTAAAATTATCGTTAAAAAAATGTAACGTGTGTGCAACAAATTGTAAAACAAGATTGTGTCTTACATACAGTTTTCCTATTGATATAAAATAATGGGATTAAACGTAAATATGTATCTACAATCTTTGCGATATGTGGGAAGTATGTCCATCATGTAGCGAACCGCGAAAATAAATGTGCTTTATACACATTGATTTTTCGAGCTGTTGCAACGCTGCTTCTACGCATACATTTCTCGCTCGTGTTAAACGAGATAATATCTTTTTGTAAAGTCCCAAACAAAAATTTAGAAATGCAACTATCACTGCAATGTTTGAAACTTTGTTATTTCGCGCGCTTTCTGCCGTGTTACTCAAAGACTGTTAAACCGCATACATGTGTAGCTGCCCTGGGTAAACGTCGTCATCGTCGATGGGAATCTGCCAAACGCTATCAACAAGACAAAAAAACACAGAAATGCGAGTTAGTGAATGAATCAAAGCTATACTGATCCTGATACATTTACATTCCACAGGAGAATATTCGCTACAGATTTTCGCTACAACACTTTATATACAATTTTCGATTAGAATAAATGTTTAGAGGAACATGTATAATGTAAATCGTATATACGTATTCTCAATTTAAATCGTTCTTAATATTAAACATATAATTGCACAAAAATTTATATATAGAACAAACTCCTGTTTCATGTTATCTGTAAAGAAAGTCGATTGATATGTTAATAGCTGGTACAAGATTATTTTTAAATCCAGTATTTGTTCACTCCATAAAGATGCTGTTGAATGTCATCTCACAAAATCATCGTTTTCGCCATTGCTACAAATGATCTTTCCGCCATAGCCATGGGAAAGCCACATCAATTTATTTTCAATATGTGAGTTACACAGATTTAGATTAAATTATTTTAAGCACAGATATAAAATATTTTAAGGTATAAAGATATATATATATATAAATATATACATTAATTTTGTATTAATATAAATTTTATTAAACAGAAAAATAGATGTTGTGGCTTGCCTATATAAAAATTGTCAAAATAAATCAGCGGCCATTAGTCAGAATCGTTAAAAAACGATATTAAAATATTAAAGACAACGAATAGCTTAAAATTATTTCAAATAAGTAATGTACAATTAATAATGTACATTTATAACATGTGTTTTAATACATTTAATTTAATTTTTCTGTCTACTCACGCACTCTCTATCCTCAAAAGTATTCAATGAGTAGAAATACGTATGTTCTTATGTAATTCTGACTTACAGCAACATTTTCCCTACGCGCACAATGCGATGCATTTATTTCTAATGCGCAGAAATAAATGCATACAAAATTCATGAATATGCAGTTTGTGGCATATATTTTTCCGAATATTACTGATAATCCTTATTACTTAATATTATACACTAATTTCGAAAATTATATCATTTAGTATATTATAAAATAAACAAACAGAAGAAATCCACCGTTAGCATTTCATTAAAATTGTCATTTCAAATAAGCTTTTTAAAAAATGCTTCGAGGTTGTTAAAAACTCCTAGTAATTAGACATTGTTTAAGTAAAAAGCAGCCAAGTTTTTTTACTTATGTGGCACATAAATGCGATGTCAAATGTTTCGTGTAAAAAATTATTTATTAATCAGTAATTTACGGATTTCAAAGAGCAAATATTTAAAAAAAGATTTCGCAGCGTCAGAGTTTACATCAGTTTACAAGGAAACGTAACAATTATCGTGTATTATTAGTCTTAGAGAAATACTATATCATATATTATAAAATTTTTAATATTCTCACACACAATATATTAAATAATTATAACAAATAATTAATATATTGTATTTAACATCAAGATTTCAGTTTAACTTCATGTAAAGCTTATATAGAACAATCTAATTGTATTTTGAAAATAATTTTGGCAATAATCGTATTTTGACGAAGTATAAGCAGTACGTTATTTTAGGCATTCTATCTTTACAATTAAATCAATAAAAAAAGATTTTCCTTGTAAAAAGACAAAATTACATAACAAAAAATAAGGTAACGTTCACTTACCGATACGCAAGATACTTTTGTTCTGAAATATAAGTATAGGTAATAAATTATAATATTTTTAAGAGAAGTTAACAACAGCACTTGTCTGCAGTATATAATGGATATAATTTTAAATTCGATTGAATTCAAGATCGAAAAGGCTAATTTTTATAAGGTGAGTGATAATTTAGACGTACGATTATTACAATAATTATATGTATTAGAATTTAAAAATTCATTAGCTTGCATATTAATATTTTTACCAGCATACTAGCATTTCAAATAGACTTTCTTTATATATAATTAAAATAATAGCAAAACTATATGTATTTGTTGAAGTTCTTATCTTGATTCATACATATTTCTGATATTTGACAAACATTAATATATATTATGCGTACTGTGTAAAACATATTAATTAAATAAGAATTTTGTAAAACTAAAAATTACTTTCATTATAATTATTTAAATTTATGAATACTTAATTTTTTAAAAATTATATCGATCGATTTTCATTGTTATTGATATTTTAATTTTGCTAATTATTAGAAAACAAACTTCTTATTTTTAATGTCAATATATCAGTCAATATATTTCACACATGAATCAAATGCAACTTACCCAGCCATTTCACGTAACTATTTAGAAGAGACACAACACCTCTCATATCCCATAAGTACGCGTACAAATCGTACAGTAACTCACGATTATTACAGTACGTGAGTCTTTGGAATAGTCTGTTCACCGCATTACACATGTCGTTCAATTTAGCCGCACGAAGGTGCCATTCTTGAATCTAAAACCATTTATCATGCATACGTAGATACGCAACGTCAAACGTATTGATAAATAAATTAATAAATTAATAATAAAATAAATTTGTAATGCAAACTCACGTCTGATTCAGACGTTTGTTCTTCTTCCTTCAACTTCTTCATAACGACGTAAGCGTTACTCTTCAGCCAATTAAATTCTTGCAACAACTGAATTCCTTGACCTCCATGCTCAAACGGCAAGTAAAACAGATCGCACAAGAGGGACAGGTCCTCGTGCGTCAGTTGCTTCTCGACGTCCACAGGTTCCTGCGTTACCGCGTCCGCGTTGTCGGAACTCTCGTGATTCTCGCTATCGTTCTCTACAATCATTTGCGTGCCGTTGACCGTGGGAGAGGTGCCGTCCACCTCTACCTGCATACTACCGGAAGCTTCGCTGCACGTCTGGCAGATAAAAATCACACGATTATACATGCATAATTGAATTCTCGAAAATTTTTAACGACTTACAGAAGTGTTATCTACCATAGCGTCATCATCCGCTGAAACCTTTGCTATGTGCGCCGGCGAGTTGTTCGGCGTCGTGTTGCAGTCCATAGGTTCCACAGACGACAGCCCCGTCGAGGGTGGCTCGACGCTCAAACTGGTGGGTAACGTAGTCAGGACGGGCTCGCTAATCACTTTTATGTCCGACACCAGAGAATTCATCACGGGCCCGGACGGCGGTTGCACGAAGCTGTCGCTAACCACCACACTCGAGCAGACCTCGGCCAGCGCTTGAAGATGATTAGAATTCACCCCGGCCGTGGACGTGGCAGCAACTGTAGTTGTCGTCGTCGACGTGAGGCTCATGCACGTGTTAACGGAGGGAATTATCGGGATAGGTATCGTAGGTGCGACGCACGGCTGCGGTTTGACTATCACTCCCCAAGCTGCCTTCTTCTTGTCGAACTCTAACAGCCATTCGCTTATTGCACTTTTCAGAGCGTGCCGGGGGTGATACATATTCGCCGATAATGTTGACGGTACATCTTCACCGAGGACGCCGTCCTCTGTCTCGGTTTCTAATTTAATGTCCGCTGACACGGTATCATCTACAATATAAAAGTTTTAGCTTATATCGTTCATTTTAAAGGGTCTCACCATCCCTGAGGCTTTAAAATAATACCTAAGTTTGGGATTTTTTTGTGGGCAAATAGATAACTTTATTTAAAAGCTGTTTAGAGGACGTTGTTGTACATATATAGAAAACTAAAAAAATATTTTTTTATGTACAAAATGGTGGCGCAATGGCCAACTTACGAAATCCCTTTTTTCTGTTTTTTCAAATCGGTGTACAGGATTCCAGGCACACGGTTTGATCTTGAACAAAACACAAAGAATTTTTATTATCTACATATTAAAGACTATACAAGTATGTAGGAGTTTTTTAAAATATTGATTTTTCTCGAAATGGCAATTATTTTTACGAAAAATTCGTATTTTTGTTAATACAAGTCTTTCATAAAATAGCTGTCATTTTGAGAAAAATCAATATTTTGAAAAATCCCTACGTACTTCTCTAGTCTTTAATATGTAGCTAATAAAAACTCTTTATGTTTTGTTCAAAACGAAACCATGTGCCTGGAATTCTGTACACCGATAGGAAAAAAAGGGATTTTGCAAGTGCAGGCCAGTGCGCCGCTATTTTGGACATAAGAAAAATTAAAAAATATTTTTTTGGTTTCTTATATATGTACATACAATAATGTCTCTCTAAGTAGATTTTAAATAAAGTTATCCATTTACCCACAAAAAAATTCCAACCTTAAGATATTTTAAAACCTCAGAGGTAATGAGATATATATAAAATAGAGTATAGAAAATCGTACTTAAACTTAGGTCTCTCTTTCCATCCACATTGCACCTGCTCCATTGAGCTAACGTATGAATTGCTACAAAATTCGCCCCATACTCGCAATTAGGATTAGTTAAAACTCCTCTGAGCTTAGGTATAAGATCGGGAGAACGCCCAGAGTACGGTCCGAGGAACACCCTCTTCTGATCGTAATCGTTGGCATGTATGTTATCCCAGATAACGGGTGGTCTTCTGAGCACTTCTGTGATTTCTTCAATGGACTCCACTGTTAAAAGTCTCGATATGACCTTAGGTCCGGTCCACATTATATCAATTTCCTGAGCTAATTTACTTCCGAGAGTGTTGAGATATTCCGAGGACGCGACGTTCGGCATCGCGCGTGTCGCGCAATATTGCGTGGGGCACAGAAGAAAATGAGGTTGGCCAAGATGTTGAAAAATATCGTTTGTGACGGAAACCTGCAAAATAAGAAAAAAAAAGAACAATATAAAATATGTGATGTGCTATACGAGACGATTCTGTGCGACAGCGGTTGGCTCTCAACGAGCTCTCGATTTGATTCCAATCCTCATTTCCATATGTCCCGATTTAAAAGAGATTGATTGGAAAAATCGAAGATTGTAGGGAGGACTAATTAAAGAGAAATTATAACTTGTGGCAACAATAAATGGACGTACATGCAGAAATACTAAGAATGCCAAATTAAGCGTATTACTGTATTGCACACTGCATACGTACTTGAGCATGTGCAAACGACTGAAACACTTCTTTGTCTGCTTCACTCATTTCCGGCTCTATGTCGTCGAACAACAACGCAAACGCCGTACAACCGAACTGACTGACTTGCTCCAGCTTTCTCTTCAAAGCGGTGACTTCCTTTGAACTGGAGTACGTGATATCCAATCCCGGGGATAGCGCATAGTAAAAGGTTATCCCGTATTCCCTGGCAGCTGCGATTAGACCAGTCAGATGCTCGGCCTCTTCCACCGTGTACAGATCCCTCCAGTAAGCCCGATGTTTGTAATCATCTTTCGGCGCGTACAGGTAAGAGTCCATTCCCCATTTTTTCAATCTAGTAATACGCATAATTTTTAATTAACGATCCATTATCGCTGATATAACACGATATATTGATAATATATTAACTTAATGTTCACAGATAAAAAAAACTAATATATTCGAATAGCCCAAGAAACGTGATATCCCTTAGAGAATTCTTTCTGCAGAATTAATAAAAATATAAAAAAATAAAAAACTAAAATGAGAAAACTACGCTAATGTCTTTTCCTCGCAAATTTCCTTTTGAAATGCATTTCCGACGTGGGCTTACTTCTGAAAGAGATCCTTTCGCTGCTCCGTGGTCCATGGTCGTCCGTAGAAACCTGCGAACGATAAAAAGTGTGTTACACGCCTGGAGGCGAGTGTGGGACACGCGAGTGTCGTGCCATAAAGAGGCATGCTCGGATCGCAATCCCCCGTAATACCCGACAAGTACCGTACGGTACGCCCGATACGGCGACTCCGTCCACGTACGTACCTTCTACCACACCGCAGATGAAGTTGCCATTTTTCGTGTTGAGATTCGCGGCCCCGTTCGTCTCCGTCATCGCGGATCGCGCGGGGGTCAGGAAGCACGTCCTGCTCTCGAGGCTCCAGGAGGCAGTGAAACGGCCCGCGATACGTTATATCGAATTCCCCGTGAAGAGGCGAGGGAACGGGCGAGAGAGAAAAAGGGAGGGAGAGAGAGAGAGAAGAGAGAAAGAAGCCTGCAGGACGATCGCGACACGCGACGCGCGAGGCTCGACGACGCGATTGCACTACGACGGTCGACGATTGCGAGTCTGCGAGATAACGTACGTGTCGTCGCTACGTGTTACGCCGTGCGACACGGCGGCGTAACTCCCGTCGCCGAGAACCCCAGGGGAAAGCTGTATTCCGGATTGCGAGGAGCGGTAAATCTGACAGACAGGCTGCACCCGATACGCGCCGATCGATATCGCCGAACGATCTGTCGATCCATCGAGGCCGAGAACATGACGGAGCAGCGAGAGAGAGAGAGACGATGCTCCTTCCGCCGCTTCCACACCGCGGCGGCGGTATCTGACAGTCGCGGAGAGAATCTCCTCGCGAGACTCGAGATGATAAAGTTTCGCCCTTAGCTCCGGTTCTCCTTTTGTGCCCCGAAGACGACCAACTTGAACTTCGATTAATCTCAATCGGCGATTAATTCGGCAGAATTGCTTGCAGCGAAATCCGGAATTTTTCCTCTCATGCGTCAAATAAAAAATTGATAATTCTGTGGAAAATATTAGAAGATTAAAATCAAATGCTGCTAACAATAATTAATAAATATTACAAAGGTGTCACTTGATATGTTAATTGTCGATTAAGTTAATTGAAGTTTAGTCGCAGCTTGCCTGAACGATCAGACACTTCTAAGTGCAGATCGAATTTAAATATATTAATTTAAATAATATATCATGATCGTTGTCTAAATGCGAAAGTCTTATTTTACTGCCAAATTTGCTACTTAACATTATCTGACGTCTGACGTATAATTCGTCAAACATTTGACAGCTGTCAGATCAGCTGTCGGATGCAGCTCCAATTGAGTTCGACTAGGAGATACATGCAGGTTAATATATAATTCGCATATTCGGAGTGCGTGCTTTCCATTTAAATGTTCGCGCATTTTATTCAAAAATTGTTGGTTATTTTAAAAAACTAAGCAAAATTTTCAAGCAGTTGAAATAAGTGACATTTCGTAGTTTGATATACTAATTTTGGCAGAAAAGTTACAATAATATAATTAATAATACAACAATATTAATAACCAAGTCACGCAGCCACGCAAATATTTAGATAGAAAATATTTCTCCGAACTTGTTTGCAAATTCATGAACGGAGCGCATTTATGACCCCGTAATGCATACACCTGCATCTAGAAGAATATACCGGTCACAGATAAACAGATTATCCGACGCAGCTATCTCGCGGAAGCGCCGCGAGATGTCGCCACGAGTACCATCTTCCATTTTGAAAGCTCGAGTTGCGCGAGTGATCGGACGGGCTCGCCGCGCGTCCTCCACAAATGAAGCACGCGATTACGTTATTGTCCTTATGTATTCAAGTGTATTTGCAGAAATAATCACCCGTGTACCTCCGTGCAAACGTTAGGAGGAGCGACTGGACATGACCAGAAATAGAATCGATCAGTAAGCCGCTTAGGACACGCTTGTATCGCGATATGAATAAGAGCGTCACTTCTGACACTATATGTACTGCATGCTTGCGATATTTCCGCTCTCGGTGAACTTTGCGTTTTACAAACACGCAACGATATTACCTTGCAATTTATCCCGTCGTTTGAATCTCACGGAGAGTTCACGTTTATTTGCTCTAAACGACAAGCGGAAGAACGCAAATCTCGAGACAAACGCCGTAATTGGGTAAAAACAGATATTCATTGAAAATAATTAGACTTATCATTTACCAGTGAAAATACATATAAAAATTAGATATAAAGCTGTGACATCATCGTGACGATGATTACGATTCTGTATGATCAAGTCAGATTATTTAAAGACATTTATCGCGGTATTGTTCCATGATGGCAAACTGCACAGGTATAAATTCGCGAGTGATCTGTATGAATCTTGTTTGCGTTAAAAAATTAAAATTTTAATGCGTCATTTCAGTCTTATAAAAAGTCATTTGAAAGAATTAATCTCGTTCTTGATATTTGAAAGACGTAAAAGCGAACGTCGCATTCTCCCGAAGAAAATGGAATGTAAGCGCAAATTTACGGTCACCCTATATCTCCTGTAAGTAGTCACGGTATCGCATTCGTCAGACAATGAATCGACGTCGCTCGATTGAGGACATCGCTTCCGTACCGTTTCTCTCTCTCTTTCTCTCTCTCTCTCTCTCTCTCTCTCTCTCTCTCTCTCTCTCTTCCCGTTATCGGCAGGTTTCCAGACATAAGACGTTACATATTCGCGCTCGATTCAGAGAAGCGTAAACGTTCCAGATTAAATTAAATTTTGTTACAGGATAATCTCATGGAATGCAATACAATTTGCTATATACAAATATAATACAGACACACATATTTTTGCAAGTAAAAAATCTACTATCGAGAATCGAGATAAATCCATATAGATAAATGCGTAACAATAACTAAAGAATCAATTATAAGCAGTTTTTATTTAAAAATTTACTTGCGTCAAAAAATATTTGAAATTGTTTGATTTCTTGAATCCTTTTTGAAGAGTACATAAAAATAATTTATACTTTATTTTATGCAGATTTATTATTTTGAACAATAGAAATGTTTCTTTAAACGACGTGCCAATTTAAAGATTCTTTGAACGTATATTGTACCGTCCGATAGAGTAGAGCAGTAGCTCTATAAAGGAAGCAAGGTTACGTTTAGCGATTTCAGGTAGGACTGAGTGCACGATAACTGATTGCATTTCCAAACCGATTGGTTAAATGGAGTGTGATACATGACGTGTTCGCGGCCTTCTAGGAAGTAGGAGGCAAACGATACTTAAAATAGACGGTGCAATCGTTATCGCTATTCCATCGATAGAAACGCGTGCATCGCTAAAAATCGATATTTTCCATAGTTTTTAACTCCAACGTAAAGAGACCGACTTGCAATGCCATCAGATGACAGATAATTTAAGTAAACAATTTAAGTAAACGTGCCGTATTAAAATATCTCCTTGCAGATTATTAATATGCGGTTTCAAAAAAAAATTCTATAAAAAAAAATACGTTATCCTTCGTTGAAGTATTTTAACAAGCCGCGTGTTTGCTTCTCAAACAGAAGGGACGTAGGAAATATTAGGGGCCGCAAAAACTGCAGAAGACCTCCTGGGGAAAGGGGTGAGCCCTGTATCAAGGACTCGCGCGTCAGTCGCTTCCAGGTAGCATCGCGGAGCGGCGCCCGGGTCGTCGTGGCGAGAGAGGGTGGCGATTTTTCGCCCCGGGGTGGCGCGAGGAGTTTGGAGAACGCACGGCCGGGCCGTGCCGCTGCTGCTGTTGTTGCGACGCGTAGCCATATCGGGGGAGCAGTGCGAGGCCGGCTATCAGCCGTCCAACATCGACGTGTCGGGATTACGTTTGCATATGTAACACGGCTGCTGCACAGGCAGTACGTACACGCACGTACACGCTTACCGTCTAGACCGACAGACAGACGGACGGACGGACGGACGGACGGACAGATAGACAGGCAGGTAGACAGATAGGCACACATATAATACAGCGCACGCTCTTCGCCCCCGCCCCTCTCCCCTCCCTCCTTCCCACCATGCGTAGTACCGTCACCGTGTGCGTCTCGTTCTTTCATCGGGTTCACACATGGAAGAACAAGTAGAACGAGCAGGAGGGAACAGTGAAATTTCTTTATCATCCCGGTGGAAATTGGAGGGGACGAAGCCCTTCGCAAATCCGCGCGGCATGCGTCGTGATCGATAAGGGCGAGCGGAGGGCTGGTTGCACACTGTCGTCGCCTCTTTCACTAGTAGTAGCAGCAGCAAAAAGGGTAGTTGCTTCGCGCGTCCCGCGTTGAGGTCGTGAGATGACTGGGAATTCCGATAGGCGGAGAGTGCGACGGGGTAGCGCGCGATAGAGGACGACAGGAGGAAGAGAGTGCTTGTGGGCGAGGTGGATGACAGAGAAAGAGAGCAAGAAGGGGATGAAAAGAGGAAAATAGGAAGGTGAAATAGAGAGAAGGAAAGAGCTGTAAAACGAGAGAGGAAGAGTAATGAGTAAACAAGAAGAGCTGTGAAAAAGATTTACGAAGGTGTTATCAATCGAAGTAGAAAAAAGAAGAGAGGGAAGAAAAAAAACGTTGTGAGTGAGAGGAAGACGGATAAGCCTGGCAAAACTCGAGAGGGAAGAATCGAGTGAGCAAAAGAGAGGGGAGAGAGACAGAGAGAGGAGAGTTTGCGCGAGAGGCGGAGGAACGTGGAGGAGGACCGACCGTGGTACCGAATGTGGCGTTCGGAGTATGGTATTCGCCAGCCGGGGCCAACCGACGTCGAGCAGCCAGTTTCCGCCCGCGCTCGATTCACGGAGTCGTCATCATCGCTGTCGGCGAGTCGCGCACTCGGCGGACGAGATCCCTCGTTAAGAATCGCAGCCGCCACCCGGTAGAATCCTGTATATCTAATCCTGCACATCGGTATTCGTTCGAACCGAGTCACCCCTGGACGACGACGACGACGACGACGTCTCTCCACCAATAAGCGAACAGCGGTACAAGAGAGTCCTCCCGGCGACAACGACGACGACGACGACGAGGACGAGGACAGCGACAAGGACGAAAACATTGACGACAACGACGGCGACCTGCACGACGACGACGACGACGACGACGGCGACGAGGACGACGGCGACGAGGACGACGACAAAACGACGACGGTGTCACTGTCACGCGAGCCGTGTGTCACCGAGCGGATTCGTCAAGGCGACCACCGGGATCCGATTTCATTCGCGGTGAGAGTGCGACGTCGGACAGTGCGCGATGACGCGATCGCATCCATCACGACGACGACGACAAGACGTCGCGATCGAGTGAGAGTGCAACGGAAGAAGAGCGGCACGTCACGATTGAACTTACATCACCGTCACCGAAGGTAAAACGTGTCGTCGCGTTAAGGACTCGTGATGACGTTCTGAGAATTCAAAGGGGATTCTCGGAGACAAACGTTAACGAGATTACTTCGCCGCGAGACATCAAAAGAAATCCCTTCTTTCTCCGGTATTTCCACCCCCTTTCTCGAACCTGCACACACCTGGCACCCCTCGTACGGATTCACTAACTCTAACTTAGTCAGAGCGGTGCCTGTCAATGTGCTTCACGATCATCAGGGCAACGAGAGGAACCATGGCGAGCCTCGGATGCAGCCCCGAGGGCATCATCGGCGCGAGGATGAGGTGCAGGTGGACAACGGTCAACCGATACGATCCAGCTGTAGGATCCAGCTGTAGGAAAGTCGCGATCGGCTGTCGCGTCAGCACGTCGCGACACTGAGCGACTACTGAGAGCAGCACGCGCCCCGGCGGGGACCTCGTCTTCGTCAGACGAGGCGGTCGTGTGTGCCGGCACACAGTCGGCGGTCGGCACGGGCACAGGGAGGACGATGGCATCGCGCGCCGCGCGCTCCCCCAGGAAGCCGACACCGCGGAAGAGCTCGCGCGCGGACACGCGCCACGGCGCGGACAGCTGTACGAGACCGGAGTCAACAGCAGTAGCGGCAGCGATCAAGCACAACCGGGAGCTGCGACAGCGACCACGGACAACCCCCGGCGACGCAGCAACGGAATCGGTGGCTGTCGTCGTACGATTTGGCAGTCGCGTCGTTCGACGGCCGGACGACGTCAAGTGGTAGTCCTTCCCCTTATCCCTCGAGCGACGAGTCAAGGACGAGAGTGGAAAGTGTGCGGAGAGAGAGGAAGAGAGTGAGAGG